TAATTGTACATCCGCTTTTACACTGAGGAAATTGTGATTGTACATCCGCTTTTACACTGAGGAAATTGTGATTGTACATCCGCTTTTACACTGAGGAAATTGTGATTGTACATCCGCTTTTACACTTTTCGCTTATAACACAACCGAAAAGTTAAGATCAGTTAGAGCAAGTTGGAACGCTGTACAGCCTTGTTTTATAGAAATGAATTATTGTACCTGATGATAACAAAACCTTGTCGAAACGTTGTACATTTGCTGTTATGTTAAACTTATATTAAAGTTTTTCTTCATTACCCATTCAAGCCGTCTCCAACCATTATAAAGTTGAGTTTATTTCACATTTAACACGGATTTTCAATATACGTATACATATATATATATATATATATACTCAAAGAAATAGCTAGCTAGTCCTGCCATTCACATAAAACCTTTCATGTTGGAATAACATCTATTTATAATTACACTAAGTTTTTTGGACAAATATATTTTTTAAAGTTTGGTGATTGCAGCACTGAAACTAACTGAATGTGTGTGTGTGTGTGTGTGTTTTTGTTCTAGTGGTATCGGTGCCGGTTGGAGCAAGTGTGTCCGCAGATACGAGATTTGTTTCTTCAGTGTCATCCAGACGAAGACAGCCTTGCTTTTCTTCACAACTCCTATAAAAGATCAGATTGGTTGTTTACTCAGTTGTTTCATGTGTTGGCGAAAGCCGTTTTATGCTGGTTTATGACTCGCACGTCACTTAATGGGTGAGTAACACATTGTTAAACGTTGAATAAAACGCTAAGAACTTCTGTGTTTTTGTGTAACAAACGAGTTACTTCCAGTTGTAACATTTTTTTTTAGATTTAGATGAAATGGGAAGTACTTAGAACTCTTTATTTTCGACATAGTGATTTCGCTGGGTATTTATTTTAAAAAAAAGAAGACTAAGCTAATTGCAATTGTAACCTCTTGTAATGTTTTGTGTTGGAATATCATGAGCCACGATAGTGGTTCATAATTGGGATCGTCCAGAAATTTCACAAACACTAATTGAACATATGAGCCAAATCATCTTAAAAACCAACACCTTCTATCTCAATAGCTAAGGCTGCTAAAATATTGGTAATAGCAGAATAGTTGATTTTCCAATTGGTAGACAAAATTTATCCGTTTGTTCTTCATATTATTATTATTGTTTCACAAGCCTACAGAAAAAATGGCTATGGATATTTTATTCAAACCTAGGCAAACCTACTAAAAAACCTACTGTGCAGGTCATAGGATAATTTCTATGTTGATTCTTGAAAGATAAGGAGAGATTTGATAAATTTTTTCATCGCTACTGACCAAGTTTCTCTTCGAAGACATTCAACCGGCAAAAACGGCTAGGTATACTGCACTAAAATCTATGCACAGATACTAAACAATCTCCTGCGAAGGTTGTAAGGGTATTATTAAGTTTATTCTTGAAAGTCGAGATTTTCAACCTCTAAAAGTTTTTCTTCACTACCAACATAAGCTCTTTGAAACCATTCAAGCATTGCAGAAATGTAGAAGTCACTTAAGCCTCGTTATACCACGGGAAACGCTCAATTTTATATCAATCAGGAGCACTTCTTTTTATAACAGTGTTCACAACCTTATTGTTATTTATTATAGTCTTACAAGCCACTACAGAAAACTAATGCTCATTAATCGGATTTATTGTTTCTCGAGTTCGCTGTTGTACTTTATCTCTACATGGATTTCTACGACTATTTTATTGAGTTTTCTAACAGTAGACGATTACCATAGTAGATTTCTCTACTCTTGAGAGCTGTGGTTTATTCTACTGATTTTCGTACTTCGCTGATGGCCCGGCATGGCCAGGTGGTTAAGGAGCTCGACTTGTAATATGCGGGTCGCGGGTTCGATTCCCCGTCCCACCAAACATGCTCGCCTTTTCAGCCGTGGGGGCGTTATAGTATGACGGCCAATCCCACTATTCGTTGGTAAAAGAGTAGCCCAAGAGTTGGCGGTGGGTGGTGATGACTAGCTGCCTTCCCTCTAGTCTTACACTGCTAAATTAGGGACGGCTAGCCCTCGTGTAGCTTTGCGCGAAATTCAAAAACAAACAAACAAGCTTCGCTGATATTGTGAGCGCATATTTTAATATTATTATATTATTATTACTAACTGAAGTACCCGTCCCATGGACGGAAGTTATTTAAATTCATGATTAATGAAAAGTTACCTTAGGACAGGAAAAGTTGCTTCCATTATATGTAATTGTAAAAAACGCAAAAACACCCATAAAAACTACAAAATACAAAATGTAAAACCACAAGTTTGCATGTATTTCCCTACGACCCAATGAATCTCCATAGCAAATTTGGTGAAGATCCATCAACACGAGGCGAAGTAGTGGTAAAAACCGCAAAACTGAAAATTTATACACCTCTGCATGGTTCTAATGAACCTCCATACCAGTTTGGGTGAAAATACATCCACACCAATGCATAGACAACAAATAGTACTGTTATTTTTATATAGATTCATATTTTTGATTCACAACCTACAGCGAAATCGGCTGAGTATTTTGCACCAAAACCTAGACAGATGTATAACATGAAACGCTGCGAATGTCCATGACCCATTTAAAAAGTTGATTATTTGTCATTGAAATTGATTTACGTGGCTATAAATACATAATATATGCGATGTTGTTGTGAGTGGCATCTTTTGTACCATACGCTTGTTAAACGCGTGTTTACACGAAGCCTCAGACATAAAATCATCTGGCCAGGGAAATGGTTGGATGGAAAAAAAGCCAATGCAGCAGTAAACTGTGGAAAAACATGTAACATTCAACTGAATGCATACGCACGTATGTAACTTAACATTTATTCTCCATAAATGGACATAAAACATTTTTGAAACAACATAATTATGAACTGTTAAATTAAAAAGAGGAATAGAGATTGTCAAAAAAGTACAAAAACAAGTTGAATCAAAATGAAAAGATTATATTTTCAAGCCTACAAATAGGGACTCTTAAAAAAAAAAGTCAACAAACTAGGCAGGAAATAGTGTCTACGTTATTTTCTCAAGCTACAAAAAAAAGATAAGCGTTTTTGCTTATTTAGGAAAGTTACAGGTGATTTTAAGTTTAACTTGAGATAATTTGGCCTTGAATGTTTACCTTGTCAATCAACTTCTGCACATTGTATTTCTACAGCGTGTTATTTTATTCAAAATGGAAAGTGTTTGAAAACATACCAAAACTTATATTTACCTTAGAACATGTTACATTTATTTCGACTAGTTTTGTTCAATCTTTGGTGCAAAATGCAGGAGTTTCATTAAAACCTTTTTATCTTAACGCTAGTAAAATGCTGTGCTGTGTTGGTTAGTTCTTATGCAGTTTTATTGTTGTTTTCAGTAACAAAAATTTCTAAGCTAATAGACACGATGATAGAGCAAGTTACTAGTAATATAAAGACCAGGTTCTCGTACTGAAGTTACTGATAGTGGTGATTCATTGTCGTTCATCCAGCTACTTGGATTACAATATTTCACGTTCCTTTTCGTTAAACTCTCATTTTGATAATGGATCGTTTTTTTATTGTATCGTTTCTCGTTTTCTTATTACACGTTTTCCAGTGGTTGATTGTGGTATAATTTCTGGTTTCGTTTTGTAATTTTAGTTTGATTTATAAGCTTCAATAGGCCGAGCTTGCGACGTGGTTTCCAACGTTTTGTACTAAAGGGCGGAGAATGGGGGGCACTCTTCATATTGTGATTATGCATATTGTGTTGTCTGATTAGAGTATTGAACACCAAGACGCATATAACGTGCTACTGTTGATAAGTCGTTTGTTTATGGCATGCATTGTGATTATGTTACGACTGTCATTGGCTTGTACCTCGTTATAGTCATGCTTATAATGTTTTTTCAGTGATATACAGTTGTTATTATGATTGGACATAGGGTATGCTGAAGACTTTCATTGGTTCAAACTTAATTACATCAGAAGTCCTAGAGTTTTTATGTTACATTTTAATTACCCACACCGGTAGCAGTTTTGTGTTGGATGTTCAGTGTCATATGTTTGTTACATTGCAATAACTAGGACACAATTTAGTAAATTATTCTCTCGAACTATTCCTATTTTGTGGAAATAATCTTGTTTTTCCTTCATGGGATACATTTATTGTTAGTATGTCCAGCTCAAGGAAACTATTTATTTTTTGGTTAAACGATCATAATCAGTGATAGGATACTGGATATTTCGATGGTTAAAAGATGAATTTTAGGGGCAGGAATAAGATAACTTGTGGCTTAAAGGTCAATTTCATGGTCAAGAAATGAGAATAGTTTATGAAAGGCTGGGCCTGGCCTATTGATTACCATGCCGAACTGTGAATCTGAAGGTCCATTGTTCGCATCGCGTTGCCGCAAAAAGGACTGCGCTCCGTACTTTGGTATAACGAGTGCGTTATAAGAGTGAGAGTCAAATTACATTATTTGATTAGAATGTAGCCCAAGAGTTATGTTGAGTGCTGTTAACTAGCTGCTTTCCTTCTAGTCTCATTCAGAATTAGGGACGGTTAGCAAAGATAGCCTATGTGTATCTTTGTGAATAACCCAAACAAACCAAGTTTGTGCATAAAGGAAAACGTTCAACCTAGGGCCAGCAAAAGGCGTATTTTACGATAATAAATCAAATCAAACATTTTATGGTTAAGAATACAGTAATAAAATTAGGAAATACGATATTTTCATAGTTAAGAGATCAAGCTTTGAACCAGGAAAAAATGTAATTTTTGTTTAAAAAATTATCCCGGGATCAGGAAGTTGTTGTTGTTTGTTATTAAGCACAAAGCTACACAAAGGGCTATCTGTGCTCTGCCCATCACAGCTGTCAAAACCTGGTTTCTAGTGGTATAAGTCCGCAGACATACTACTATGCCACTCGGATGCTATCATGAAGTAAGATATTTTTTGTTAATGAAAAGACCAAGTCTTATAAATGAGAATATGTTATGGTTGAAAAATAAAACTAGGACCAAGCATTAGAATGTTGTATGAGTAAAAGTCTTGTCCATAACCAGTAAATAATACATTTCTAATGTGTTAAAAGACACAAACTCAGAACAGGGAAACAGAATTGTGCGTGTCTAAAAATTCAAGTTAAACCATAAATATGGAAAGCTTGTTTGGTTAAATACCACGTTTAGATTCAGTAGGGGATTCATTTTTCTTCTAAACAGTAGTTCTCAGGGCCAGAAAGTATAATATTGTTACCAAAAACGTTAAGTTTATGACCTAAAAATGAGATATTTTTATGCTAAAATTCTCAAACCCAGGCCTAGGAAACAGGATAATTTCATAGTTAAAAGTTCGAGATTAAAGCCTGGGAATGGGTTTTGTATTATGGTTTGAAGATGAAATTCAAGACCAAGCAGGAAGTGTTGTGAGCATATGTATGTGTAAAATCCAAGTTTAATACCAGGAAACAAGGTGATTTTTATATAGTCAGGTTCAGGATACAGAGTAACCTGATGGTAAGAGGTCAGGCATAACGTCAGGAAATAAGTATTTGGCATAAAATCCAAACTGAATGCTAGGAAATTGTGATATTTTGTAATAAAGTATCAAACACGAGGCCATCT